AAGGAAGGGGTAGGAATGGGGAAAAAATAAGAACCAAGATGCATTATGTAAAGGTACAATTCCCAGTGAGAAATGTAATTGTGTTTTATACCTACAATGTACCAATAAAAGAATTTAATAAAAAATAATAATAATTTTATATTGCCCTAGTAAATAATAATATTAGATTGATTTCAGAACACTGAACATTATCTTTGAGAAATAAATGTAATTTTAATAACAAGATTTAGAAAAAAGAATTCAAAAATTTTATATGTTAAATTGCATTTTTTTAGTTCTATGTGACAATGACCATCTTTTATGCTAAAAAGGCATTTGTAAATCTATATATTGTCTACTTATACCCTTAGATTAAGGTCTGATGTTACTTCAAATACATTTATATCTATTCACTAATCAGTTTTTAAAAATAAATGCCATCAAATTTTTGAAAATTGTTCTATTTATCATTCTTCATTTTAAGATAAGCAAGCGCTCTACCACTAAGGTCTACCCCTAGCCCTTTCATTTTTTGACACAGGATCTCATTAAGTTGCCCAGGCTGGCCTTGAATTTGTGATCCTTCTGCCTCAGTCTCCCAAGAGGCTGAGATTATAGGCTACACTACCACATCTGGCTAGATTTTATTTTTAGTTACTAAATTGAGGCTTGCTCATTAAATGAAGTGAGACAATGTAACAATGTTTAATCTCCTTTGTTCTCCTCTCCCATCCAGGAGTAACTGTTTTAATAATCCAGTGTGTATTCCTCCATACAAAGATACACAGGATGTTTTCTGGTTTTTCCAAAAATATAATGATACCTTATTTTTGGAAATAGTGACTTTGTAATTTTCTTTTCATTAGATCTATGGCCATCTACATATGGCTCTAATCCATTTTTCTTCACAGCAATTTCCAGAGTATGAATGCACAAATCTATTAAACTATAGCCTTACTGATGGATATACATGCAGTTTCAGTTTTTGTCATTAGCAAGAATTCTACCTTGAAACTAGACAATAGACTGCCATGGTCAAAGGGCAGATACCTGTACCTTTAATTTTAATATATATTACAAGATGACTTCATACACCTCACTACCAGCAAGCAGAAACAGAATGCCTATTTCTCCATCTTTTTATAACTTGACAAGTGAAAAATAGTGTATTATTTTGTGTGTGTGTGTGTGTGTGTGTGTGTGTGCATGTGCATATGTGGTACTGGGGATTTGAACCCAGGGCCATGACAGATACATCCTTAGCCCCCTTTTTAAATTTTTTCATTTTGAGACAAGGTCTCACTAAATTTCCCAGGTTGATCTCCAATTTGCAATCTTCCTACCTCAGCCTCCTAGAGTCCTGGGATCATAGGAGTGGAGTGGTTGAGTTGCCTGGTAGTTCCTTTAGAAATGGCTTGCCAATTAAAAGTATTCCAGGTCTTTCTTGCCTCAAACAAAGAATTGGACAAGACATGCCAAAAATGGTATCAAAAAAGTTTATTTGAAAAGTGAGGGGTGAAAGGTTAAGGGGAAAAACTGGCTCAGCAGAGTGAATTTGGGCTGAACAAAAGGATAAAAGCAAACATAAAAGTAAACCCTGGTGTAGAAGACAAAGAGTGGGCTATCGTTAAGAGTTACAATAGCCAGCTGCTCCTGGCATCTGTGTCATTACCTGTAGTCCACATCTCTGGGAAAGCTGAAGTTCTACAAATGGGGTTCCTGGGAATTATTTGGCACTGTCCTGGGATTGTGTAATTGACATGTCCTGCTTATTTACCCTGCCAGCTTTGCCACCTCATGTCTTATGTATCAATTGTATTCTTTTAAAGTGAAAATACTGACTATGGTAGTAGTGTGACTACGCATCTTCAGATGTTAATTGAGTCTTCCTCCTTCCTGAAATGGTTGTTCATAGCATTTTGCCACAGTCAGACAAAGATGTCATAACACAAAGGCAGTGATGGGGATTTAACAGCAAAAGAAAGGACAGGCTGGATACCTACTTGCATTCAGCTGGGACAGTGAAAACCCAGAAAATAGAAGTGACAGTAAACTACCATTGTTTCCTGTGTATCTCAGTGCAGACACTAGGTGGAGGTGAGACCAAGCCGCAGTAGCAGAGAGAGGAGGGCATTAATCATACCAAATCCATGGGCCCGGGGATTTAGCCGCCTGCCACGCAAGGGCAAGGACCGGAGTTTGATCCCCAGTACCAAAAACCTCCTAAGCAAAACAAAATAAAAAAATAAATGTGTGTGTGTGTTTTTTTAAAAGCATACCAAATTCATTAGTACTAAATATGGAGATACTCATAAACACTGAGGGGAGAAAAAGTAACAGGCTTATATTTTACTTCTATTTTAGTCTCCTGTTGTGGCTCAATTTTAAACTTTCTGTCCTCTCTAGTGTTTTTTATTATTAAATTGCATTTTTGTATGCAGAGCTAAGGAAGGACAGGGATCTTTTTCCTCCAGAATATACAACTTTAAAGGCAGCACCACCTATTTCCGAAAAAGTTGAAATGCTATCTTTTGAGGTCCTCATATATTCAATTTTTGCACATATAATTATTTTCTATTGTTCAGTTTGTTTACTCATACTTCAAAACACACTGCTTTAGGCCGGGGATTTAGCTCAGTGGTTCTGGCGCCTGCCTCCAAAGTGCAAGGTCCCGAATTCGATCCCCGGTACCAAAAAAAAAAAAAAAAAATACTGCTTTCAGTAAAGGGTTTTTAGTACATGTTGCTATCTGGAAAGGCAGGTATTTTTCATTTTTTTGTGTGTGCCACAATTGTCATATATTTTAAACCATGCTTAGGTTAGCTAATTGGTGTCAAGAAAAAACATTAGTTTTTATTTTTGTGGGACTGCATAACCTTTGTTCCTTTTTCTCCAGCCCCATTGTGATTAAAATGTGAGTTAATGGATGGAGATGCTTGTTAGTCTAGGGACGCTAGATAGGGATCTGTAACAGACCTAGAGTCCCAGAGTAAACTACTCAACTCTTTGTTTATCCGGAACTGATATTCCAGGCACCACAATTGTTAGAACAAGCTGCAGATGTCTGCTAACCATCAATATGTGACAGTCGACCACTAACCTTTGTCCCCTTTTCTTTAATATGTTAACTTCCCCCTCAACCCCCTATAAAAACAGCCTCGGATTCTGAGCCAGTTGCCTCTCTAAGCTATTTTGCTTCGGGAGTGCCGTCTGGCCAGACTAATAAAGGTCTGTTTCCCAACTTGTCCAGTGTGTTCCTTCCCGGGTGTTCTTCGCTGTAGTCAGCTCCTTGGAGCATTTGGTAAGGCTCTTGGTCCTACATTCTGAAGACACCGCTGGGATTCCTGGGTGTGCTTCACTAGTCAGCTCCTCGGAGCGTTTGGTAAGGCTCTTGGTCTTACATTCTGAAGGCACCGCTGGGATTCCTGGGTGTGCTTCACTAGTCAGCTCCTCGGAGCGTTTGGTAAGGCCCTCGGTCTTACAATTTTTACTTATGTCTTTCTGCTAGAGGCTGTTGTTACATAGAGGAATTAGGCAAACCTGCCCAAAGGTTGTCCCGACTCCAATCAGTGTCTTATTGGGAACGAACCGAGTATAAAAACAATCAAAAACAAAAGTTGTTCAACGTCTCTGTGGGAGGCTAAAATTGAGAATGGTGACAGTCGGAGGAGGTCGGACTAGGATTTCTTATGAAAGAAAGCAGGCCCTGGCAGTAGTTATTAGTTGGTGTAGCTTTGCCCTACGCTCTGCACCGCTGCAAGGCACTGTAGCGAGACGCCTGGCAACCGGCGGATTCCGGAAACGACCACACACTTTCGCCGCCTACACTCTACCTGCACTAGCCCGGATGCAGGACGATCGCTCTCAGACTCGCACCGACCTTCCTGTCTGAAGAAGAACCCATTTCCGGTAGCTTCTCAAACCTGCCTCGCCTCGATCGCCACCACCTGGTGATCTTCTGTTGGCTGTTTGGACCCAAACTACGTTTCCCAGAGAGACCTGGAGCCAGTCTAACCACATCTGGAGTACTGCCAGCAAGCGAGGGACTGGTGTCAACTTTCTGCTTTCCGATTCCGAGGCGGAGGAACAGAGAAAGCGGCTTTCACCTGCGTTGGCCCGGGAGTCCCACGGGCAACCTCAAGCTTCGCCTTTTCCAGGACACAAATTGTTCCCTCCGAGCGGGGAGACCCGGTTTTAACGCCGGAAATGAGTCACCGGGCGTGATGTCACAAAACGGGGAGGGCGCCCGGCTTCCCAGAAGGCACTGCTCCGCGCGTCCTCGCAACTGAAGGCAGTGCTTTCCAGTACTCTCCCGCGGCTAGTGAGGATTTTCCGAAGGGCGAGGCAAGCGTCAGGCCTCTTGTCCCTGGTTTTCTGGTCTCTTCCGGAGTTCAGGCGTCTGAGCCGTTCTCAGGCGGAGAGACTCCGCGAGGTGAGAGGCTCTGAAGGGGCGGGCGCCAGGCTAAGACAGCTTCTGAGGAGCGGAGCGGGCTTCGTTGCTGGGGAGCCAGGCTGGTTAGGGAGTCAGGCCCACACCCAGGTAGGGCCGCCAGTTGAGCTTTGCTGGCAAGGTGCCCTTTGACCGGTGGAAGAAGCCCCAGAGTGAGACTGGCACCGTGGGCCCTAGTATGATGTCCCTTGGCACTTTTCAATCAGTAGGACGTTGACAGGAGGGAGAAGTCAACAAGTCTTGTGTGGACACCTCAAGTGACCTTGGGTGTGCTCCATTGGAGAAGCATCAATCGCTCTGGCCCTTGAAGGACACCCGAGGGAGAGCTGCAGTGCAAGAGACGCAGTATGGCCCAATTTCGGCTGTTAGCTTGCTTCTGTATAGACACCCTCGGGATTTGACCCCATCTTTCCCGTCTTCTAGTCCATTGCTCTTTGTACAAGCACGAGTTAAACTTATCTTCCCAGTGAATATTACACTTTATATTTCCCAGGACGATGGCCTTTGACCTTCTGCTGGCTCGCTTCTATTTAGATCTTTAGTTTAGTTTTCATTCTCAGTGTCTTCCTTTCAGGCCTTCCAAAAGTATATCCTGTTCTGAAACTTTCCATTTCAGTTTTGACTTCCCTACCCCAACTCTCTTTTCTGGTTTAGAGTTCACATGGCCTCACGACCCAAGCTGTATATTGAAGTCATGCACCTGCCTTGTCTTTTGGCTAATCAGTGGTTTCTCTATCTTGCAGCTCGGCTGTCTGGTGGATTTCCTTCAATAAGAGGAGGCTCTAGCAACCCCCAGTAAACGACTGTGGTGTTTTGTTGTGAAGCATGATGGCTACAAAAGTGGTTCCGATATCCCCAAAACCAAAGCAGTCTTTTGTACTCAGAGTTCCTCCAGACTCCAAGCTGGGCCAAGACCTCCTTCGAAATCCCACCAATGGCCCCAAGACCATCCACCAGCTGGTGCTAGAACACTTCCTTACCTTCTTGCCCAAGGCAAACCTGGTCCAGCCCAATCAGAAAGTCAAGGAGACCTTGGTTGTTATGAAGTATATGAGTTCAAACTTTCAGAACAGAGGTAAGAAGCATGTGCTTATTTCACTAGAAGAGAAGGGTGTTGTACTGGACACGAAGATAAACTTTCACCTTAGTCATGAATTAAAGTTAAAATGGTGGGTACTGAAAAAGAAGTCAGTTTTAATATGTTAAGGAATTGCTTTATTCTCAAAGCTAGAGCTTATGTGGTATGCCAGATATGTATAAAGCTATGTGAAGTATGCATCTTTTGGGGGTTTTTTTTGGTACCGGGGATCGAACTTGGGTCTTGTGCTTGCAGAGCAGGCAGCGCACGAAGTGTGCATCTTTTTGTATTGTCCGTTTTTCCCAAACATTCTGGAAGGAAATATCTTTTAAAGACTATAGAAATCAGGTGAATTATTATGTTGTCTCTAATTTATATGCGATTTTAGAAACTTTATGCTTGTTCAGGTTTTTATATTTTGCCTTTCTCCAAGCTCCTGTATAGTGACTGTTAGAAATTTTAAAAGGTGCTTAGGGGAATCTTTTATATTGAGGAGATCCTATATAGATTCAGCATCCTGGGGCTTGTGGCTTGAGTTCTGTCAGGGCTCACAGGAGCAGTAACAGCTGTGAATTGCCTGCTAAAGAAGCAAGCGTAGCTTGGCCTAAAAGTACGGGCAATGTCTGTATTAGAGTCACTGAGTTTTTCACTAACTACAGCTTCCTCTTTCTCCAGTGCAACCTCATCCTTTAGTGAAGCTTCTGCCTAGAGAAGGAGTCCAGCAGAAACAGGAGACAGTATCTCTGTGTTTTAAAGCTGACTGTGAGGTGGGTTTGGTTTTCCACTCACTAAGTACATCACCTTATCTATTCTTGAAACTTTCCCTTCTAGGTCAACCAGTGTGTAACACATTCATGGGAATCAGGCTCCTAGGACATTTCTCTTCTTTCTTCTGGCTGCTCTCAGCCTGGCTATCATGTCTATGTTGCTTCTGTGTGAGATGCATTTCATCATCCTTTTCCTTGATCTTTTCTTACTGCCAAGAAATCTCATTTACTAAGAGGAAGGGGGTCTCTTGTTCTTTCAGGAGCTGGTGATCTTTGAGGATTTGAATGTATTTCACTCCCAAGAAGAATGTGTGAGCATGGATCCTGCTCAGCAACCCATCTCAGAAAAGGAAGGTAACAGTGATGTTGGGAAGATGATGTTACTGGGTAAGAAATCAAGGGCTTTGTGTGTTCAGGCTGTATGCTATAGCAAACGCATGTCCTTCATCTCTGGAGCATCTGCATCATTATTCACACCTGCTAAAGCACAAGGGCACACATTTTATTTTTGTTTAATCTTGTGTGGCAGAGGCTAGCTACAGGTTTCCAGCTGTAGTTAGTCATTCTTTCCTGAAGTCAGGGAAGAGGGGACTTCTTTGGTAATCAAGATTTGTAAACAGATGGAAAATGTGGGAAGACTATTTCTGAACTCTTTCCTGTAGACTGTTCTTACAACAGATATATTTTGAGTTAGTGTTTTAATGTTTTCATTAGACCCATGACTCTTCTAAGTTACCTCTTTTCTTTAATGTTCAGTAGGGGTGGCTACTATTACTGTAAGTGAAAGCATATTCCCTTTTTTTTTTGGTACCAGGGATAGAATTCGGGTCCTTGCGCTTGCGAGGCAACCAGAGGAACCACTGAGCTAAATCCCCACCCCCCGCATCTTCCACTTTTGATGAAAATAGCATATATATGTGGTTTTGGCTTGGTTGGGTTTTTTTTTGACGCAAGGTCTTACATAGTTTAGGCTGGCCTTGAACTCATTATGTAGTCCAGGCTGGCTTTGAACTTGCAGTGATCCTCCTGCATCAGCCTCTCAAATGATGAGATTATAGGAATGTGCCATCATGCCTGGCTGATGAAAATAATATCTAACATTTACTAAGCACTTATTGTATGCCAGTGTCTTAGTTTCTTTTCTCATGTTTCTAAGACAAAATAACTGATACCCAAATTTAAAGGGGGAAGAATTTATTTAGCTCACAGTTCGTAGAGATTTCAGTCCATAATTGGCAGGCCCCAAGGCAGGATGGGTTGGCAGAGGAGCATCACAGAGGAGAACCAGTTTGTGGCAAACAGAAAACAGCAAAAGTGAGCAAGCAAGGGTCCTTAACAGCATCTTTTTGCCCCTTTTATCCAGGCTACTTAGGGTGAGTAGCACTCACCCCTTAACCATAGTGCCCAGGAGCATAACATTGCACCATGAATTAATTCCAGTTTAACATACTCTAGATCTAGCCACCTCTGAAAAAGCCCCACTTATGACCGCATGAGGCTTTGGAGAGATATACAAGCCATACAGTCAGGCACTGATCCACATATGCATGCAAACTTGCATGCATTTCATTCATTTATTATTTATTTATTTTTTTTTTGGTACTTGGGATTGAACTTGGGTCCTTCTGCTTTCGAGGCAGGCATCAGAAGCACTGAGCTAAATCCCCAGCCCTCATTTATTTTTGAGAAAGGGTCTTGCTAAGCAAGTCAGGCTCACCTTGAACTCACTATGTAGTCCTGGACTGGCCTCAAACTCACAGCAATCCTCCTGCTTCAGCCTCCTGAGTGCTGGGATTATAGGCGTGTGCCACCACACCTGGCATTTAGTATTTTATGTGCTTTTCACAATAGTAGTGTAGGGTACAGCTATAGAACTCTTAGCTATATTGTACTGTGTGGTCCAGATGGTGGTGCATAATAGCCCTAGTTCATTTCCCACAGTATGGTCTGTGAAACATTTATTGTAGAGAAAAGTATAAAAAGTATGATTTATTACACTGGGTTTTTCCCGAGTCTTAAACAAAGCTAGGACTTATTTTGGATTATTCATTGCCATATATGTTGCTTATTCCAGGAATAATTTAGTTTCTTTGGGACCCTAAAACCCAGTCCTCACCCTTCCTTCTTCATACCATGAGGCTGATAGCTTTAGCTTGCAGTCAATGAAAAAATTCAAAACATTTCATAAATGCCACTTATTTTTTCCTCAGCCAAGACTGGAGTTGGTATTCAGCAGATTCCAAAGATAAATAATACCTATTCCTGCTTTCCACAATGTTCCAATTTGACTTGATGCGCAAGCCAGTCACTTAAAATGATATGCAATGTGAAATTGTTATAGGTATACAAGCTATCACAAGGTTGAGGCAGGATTTGAATCCTAGAGCACAGTTTAGAAGAAGATACACTTGATTTTAGATTAGATTGAATTTCTGGCAGGAAATAAAATGAAATTGTCCTCTGGGTCTTTGGAAATTGAATATTTGAGCACAGATAGAAGGATATAGGGATTTGGGAGGCAGCAGCATATAAATGATAGTTGGAGGTTTTCATTTATCCAATCTTCAAAGGGAAAAGTATAATGGGGACAGGAGTCAGACTCCTTAACATACAAAAACAATATTTCAGTACAGTTGAACCACATAAAAACAGATTCTCAGTAAGATAGTGTGTTGTGTTTTTTTTGTACCAGGGATCAAACTTGGGACCTTGTGCTTTCGAGGCAGGCGCTGGAACCACTGAGCCAAATCCCTGGCCCTCAGTAGGATAGTTCTTGTAATCCTATCTGATCTCCACTGTAACATGAGAATACAATATTTATGAAAATTGACTAAATACTGTGCAACAAAGGAAGACTCTGTATATTCCAAAAAGTAGAAATTTGTTAGAATCTATCTCAATGTAGGACAATTTGCAACTAGAAAATAGGTAATGAAAATCAGAAAATAAAAGTTCCTTCCACCTAGAATTCTAAAACTGTTAGGTAATTTTGGGCTCTTTGTAGTACATTCAGTTTGCAGTCATTTTGGAGAGTAGATCTGTATACATAATACAACTTTCCTTTTTTATCCTGTTCTCTCTCCTCCTTCCTCCTTTAATTTCCCTTTCCCCATTTTCATTCTTGTTGATACTGTTAATCTTAGCTCATGTCTGTGGCATGTAATGTTATATTCATTGAGGTCATTAGGTTCCTATACATGGTATATCTCTATTCTCCTTATTTCCCTTTCCCCTCCCCCTCATTCCCGCATCTTTGATCTCTTGGATCCCTTCCCATTTGCAAGAGATCCATCCTCTTGTCACCTACCAATCCTTTATTATTCTCTTTGTACTATTTGGCTTTGCTCAAATACCATACGGTATTTAAGCTTGTGTTCCTGTTTTATTTTATTCAACATTATATTTTCCAGGTGCATCCATTTTCCTACAAATGTCTCAAATTTGTCCTTTATAGCCTAGTGGTATTCCATTATGTATAGATACTACATTTTCTTTATCCAGTCTGTTGATGGGTATACAGTCTGCTCCCAGGATTTAGCTATTATGAATTGTGCTCCTATAAATATTGGTATGTGTGTATTGCTATAGTATGATGTCTTAGGCTCTTTGGGGAAAATACCTAGAACGTAGACAGCTGGGTCATACGAAATTTCTAATTTTAGATCTTTGAGAAATCTCCATACTGATTTGTTTGTTTCTTTCTTTTTTTTGTTACCGGGGATCACACTCAGGACCTCAGGACCTTGTAGTTGGGAAGCAGGTGTGGTGCCACTGAGCTAAATCCCCAGCCTCTGATTTCTTTAATGGTTGTACTAGTTTACCTTTCCACCAACAATGTAGGAGGGTTTCTTTTTTACCACAGCTTCACCAGCATTTAAAAAAAAATTTCTTGATGATTGCCATTCTTTCTGGTATAAGATAGAATCTTAGCATTGTTTTAATTTGCATTTCTCTAATGGCCAGAGATGTTGGACATTTTTTCATATATTTGTCGGCCATTTCCACTTCTTCCTCTGTGAAGTGTCTGTTCATGTGCCCATTTCTTGACTGGGTCTTTTATTTTAGATGGTCTAATTTTGGGGAGGGGTACTGGGGATCAAACTCAGGACCTTGTGCTTGCGAGGCAGGTGCAGTGCTAAATCCCCGGCCCCTTAGATGGTCTAAGTTTTTGTTTATTTATTCTAAATATTAGTCCTCTGGGTAATAGCTGGCAAAAAAAAAATGTTTCCCATTCTATAGATTGTCTCTTTACTAATTGATTCTTTTGCTATACAAAAGCTTTTTAATTTGATATAATCCCACTTGATGATTCTTGCTGTTATTTCTTGTGCAGTTGCAGTTCTGTTTAGAAAATCCTTTCCAACACCTATGACTTCAAGTATTTTACTTTTTATATCTTTCAGTAGCTTCAGTGTTTTAGTGTCTAGATCTTTAATCCATTTTTATTTTAATTTACTACATGGTGAAAGGTATGGGTCCAGTTTTCTTATCACCACTTGTTGAGTAGGCTGTCTTTACTCCAATGTATGCTTTTGGGCCCTTGGTCAAAGATCAAATACCTGAATGGGTCTGGGGATGTTTCTGTGTCATCTGTTCTGTTCCATTGATGCATGTGTCTCATTTTGTTTCAGTACCATGCGATTTTTATCACTGTTGCTTTGTAGTATAGCTTGAAGTCAGGTATTGTGATGCCTCCTACTTTGCTCTTGTTGCTTAAGATTGTTTTTGCTATTCTGGGTCTCTTCTGGTTCCATGTGAATTTTAGGATTGTTTTTCTAGATCTGCAAAGTATGCTGTTGGTATTTTGATTGGGACTGCATTGAATCCGTATAACAGTTTTGGAAATATGGCCATTTTGACAATACGTATTGGTTCTGCCTAATGAGGAGCAAGGAACATGTTTCCATTTTCTCATGTCCTCTTCAATCTCCTTTTTCAGAGTACTATAGTTTTCATTGTAGAGACCTTTGATTAGGTTAATTCTTAGGTATTTTATTTTTTCTTGAATCAACCACGGATGATACTGTTTTCATAATTTCCTTCTCATTGAGTTCTTTATTGGTGTACACAAATACAAATGATTTTTGTGTGTTGCTCTTGTATCCTGCTACATTGCTGAAGTTGGTTATTCTAAGAGTTTTTTAGCGGAGTTCTTTAGGTCTTCTATGTAGAGTATCATGTCATCTGTAAATAATAATTGGAGTTCTTCCTTTTCTATATGTATCCCTGTTTATTTTTATGTTGAACCATCCTTGCATCTTTGGGATGAAATCTACTTGATCATGGGTGTGATTTTTTGATGATGTGCTGCATTCTATTTGCTAATATTTTATTGAGGATTTTTGCATCTATGTTCATTATGGAGATCGGCCTATAGTTTTCTTTTT